ACTTGTTTCACTGGCTTTTGCTACCCACTGACGACCTCTCTAAACACAACCCAGTTACTTCTGCACATCCTCCAGATTGTTGCAAGTAAATGAGGCTTTTTGTGTGTGTTTAGGATTCTTCACTGCCACAGCTACACTGCATTCCATGTAGAAATGGAGAAAATGCTCTGCTTCCTCAAAGTTGCATCATACTTCCTTGCCTGGACAAAAGAATCACCATCTCTGCTTCAGCTTCTGCCACATTCCTCTTTCCCAGGACATGCAGAAACCCCCTTCAATTCCCCTTTAGAGGAAAATCCTCATCAAAATTGATACATGCAAATGACTCCTAGCAGCACCATGCCAGTTTATCAGTCATAACCAAGAATATATTAATGCTGGTTAGGCAAATCCCATTACATATAAATAAAATATGGAAGGTTTAAGGGAAATGAGAATTTTTAGTATGGATAAGAAGTGGCAGATAATCTCACAATATTTATGAAAATTCCAAATGCACATACCCTTTGACAGAATAATACTACTTTGACGAATATAAATGAATATTTGCATTACATTGTTTACTGCAGCATTGTTTAAGGAGGCAAAAAAAACTGGAAACAAACTGCATGTCCATCAACAAAGTAATGGTTGAATAAATTATAGTACATCCACAAGATAATATTCTGCAACTATTAAAATAAATGAACTAAATCTATTTGACCTGGGGATGTCTATGACATATTATCAAGTAAATTGAAAATTTGCAAAGGAAGGTGCATAGTATAATCATATGTTTTATAAAAACAAAAGCAGTGATGTGCACATTTATATATATATATTTGTAAGGAAATGGAAAAGTCTGTGGAAGGCAAATGATGTGTATTAACACTGATTTAGTCAAAGGATGAACATGTAGGTAGGTAGGGAGGTACTCACATTAAAAATAAAGTCTTTAGATTGTTTCCTAGTTATGCCAATTATTTATTAATGTATAATTAAAATATTTTAATGAAAGAAAAAATTTAAAAGAAAAAGCAGGGAGAAAACTCAATAGAGTACTACCTTCAAGGGTAAGAAATAGATATTACACAATTATGATAATTCAATAATATATTGAGTGCCTATAATATGCTTACCATGACACTCAGTATTGTGCAAAACATAAAAGAAAAATAAGTCGGTCCATGCTTCCAAAAACTCTACAGACCTGCTCTGGGACAAAATGTATATATTATTACATCAAAGACACTGCTTTGTAGGAGTGGTGCATATAGTATGTGTTTATTGGTTAATAGGAAGGAGGTGGACTGGGATTTGATTAGCTAGGATAGATTTTGTGGGTACAGTTGAGATTGGGGTTGCTCCAGCTTCATTTCCTGGCCCTTATCACTTCAGTGCATATCCACTCAACTTCCAACTGCCAGAATCTGCATCTCATGGTCTAATAGCTTTCTCTGACCACAAGAGCCTTCTCTGCCCCTGCATATGGCAGGCCAAAAGTGCCAGGGAATTAATGAAACCTTCAACCAAGGACTGATGGCAGTTGGTAATAAATTCTCTAGCTCCATTGCCCCTCATGCAGAATAACCCTGAGGTGCACATTCTACATTGGCTCCAAGAGTTCTCCAATGAGATTAGGTTTCAATTTTCCCTAGTGATGACTTGCTTGATGGCATACTCCTCATTGGCCTTGACTGTCTTCCCTTCCTTGTCTCACTTCCCCACTCCCTTACCAATATTTCCCAGGAACCACTGCCACCAAATCCTTAGCTTGGAGTCAGCTCTGGAGAAACCCAAACTAAGATAATGGAGGACTTTGACAGCTTTTATTGCTTTGGACTTTACAGCTTTTATATGTTTATTTATTGATTTATTCCACAAGTATGAATAGAGCACTTACCTCTTAATACTCAATCAGGAAAATAGACACAACTCTAGGTATTTTAAGGAGAGAGGAATTCAATGATTGGAATTGGTTTAAAGGTGTTGTATTAATGCCTTTTGCTGCTATAAGAAGTTACCAGAAATTCAGTGGCTTAAAATAACACAAATGTATTCTCTTGCAGTTCTGTAGGTCATAAGTACACAATTAGTTTCACTAGGCTAAAGTTAACGTATCAGCAGGGCTTGTTCCTTCTGGAAGCTCTGAGAGTAAATATTTCATTTAGTTAATAGTGAATTTTTCATTTCAACTATTGTACTTTTCACTTCCAGAATTTCTATTAATATTTGGCTCCTTTTTATAATTTTTCTCTTTATTGACATTCTGTATTTGTCCACACATCTTTCTCCTTGTTTCCTTTAGTTTTCTGTGCATGGTTTCCTTTAACTCTTTTTAGAATATTTAAGACAGTGTATTTAAAGTCTATTAAATCCAAGGTACGGGCTTTCCCAGGAACAGTTTTTGTCCATTTTTCTCTTTTTTATTCCTGTGAATGGGCTATATCTCCTATTTCTTTGTATGCATTATATTTTTTTAAACTGGAAAATTTAATATTATAAAGTGGTAACTCTATGAATCATATTCCCCCATCCTGTTATTGATTGTTGAGGGCTGCAGTCCTACATTGGCTTAATGACTTTTCTAAACTATTTTTGAAAAGCCTGTTATTGATTGTTGAGGGCTACAGTCATCCATAGATTTAATGACTTTTTAAAACTATTATTGCAAAGACTCTTCCTTGTTACATGTAGTCACTGAAGTTTCCGTGTTTTTATCTCTGTGGTCAGCCAATGACTTGCCAGAGGTTTCTTTAAACATTGGGAGCCAAAAAAGAAAAAAAAAATCCTACTTCCCAGTCTTTGAAAATCAGTTTTGTTCTGGGGTGCTCGTTCAACACTTAGCAAGCCACCTAAAACTCTGCTTTAGCTTTTACTTCCTAATTGTGCAGAGCCCACTGATCAATCAGAGGTGCAAGCCTAAGATCCTCTTAAGTTTTTAGTGAGCATGCATCTGGCCCTGGGCATGCATGTTGCACTCTGGATTTCCCAGCATATGTGATTGTCTTTCAGAGCCCCTTTATTGCCCCAAAATCTTCCTTCTCAGTCTTCTCCTATCCATACTTTTAAGTCTGTCTGCTGCTTGCCCCATCTTCTGTCCAGGCAGCTATATACAGTTTGTCTTTAAATGCTTTTGATAGATGTCACCTAGAAAGCGGCTCTAGCCCAAGGGCAGGGAGGTAAGGGCCAACAAAGATCAGTCTCTGTGCCAGTCCCTCAGGGAAACACTGGGCTGACCAAAACCGAAATGTTTTGAGAACAAGATCCATATTCCTCCCCCCACATCTCAGCACCAGGAAGCCACACTGGGAATACAGGCTGCTGTTGCTACAGCCACTGCTGAACTGAGGAATGGGGGATGATAAGCGAGGAAGCAAAAATGCCACAATATTTTCTTACCAAAATTTAGCAGCGTCTGTTTTCATTAAGCACTTCCCTGATTGCTGTTAGATTTTGATTAGATTCCAGAGCTCCACAAAAAAATTTGATTCTGTCAGTTTTTGCCAGCTTAATGGTTGCTTCAGTGGATGGACTGATTCTTGGAGTTTCCTACTCCAGCATTTCCATGACATCACCATTGCAACTCTTATTTGCACAAATTAAGACACATTTATTCTCTCCCCAAAGGGGGAAACACAAGGTCCTATTAGTCACTATCTCACTTTCTGGTAATGCTGATTTCTTTTCTAGATCAATAAAAAGCCCATGGAGGTATTCAATATCTTAAAAGACTAAATTAAAAAGTTAACTATTACCAACATTTCTTATATGAAGTAGTGGGAAAGGGGAAGAAAATTATAAAAGCACACATGTATATAAATCAAGCAAGAAACAAAATACATACACTGTACAAAATATGCTATAGTTCTTATTTCTATATTGGACACCAAGCCATATTGGAAATTGAAGTTCTTTCGTCTAGTGCCTATTTCATGTTCCTTTACCCTTAGCCTTCAGACGGTCAAATTTCTTCAGCTGACTGACTGATTCAAACCTTCATTGTAAGAACTCTGAACCCTTACTGATCATGCATTAATTGGCTAGTCTTTAACTTTTTTGACTGGAAATTGTATCCTGTGGAACCTGATGAGCTCTAGCCATAGTTCTCTCTGCTCCTATTATGCACAGCAACCTAATTTCCCCTTGATAATTATTTTCTTGTCTAGTAGAGTAACCCCCTTCTTTGCTTGTAGTAACTTTAGTGGCCTGAAGAACCCCACAAGATCAGGTGGCAGTCTCAGCTTCCCATTCAATAGAATCATTGTTGTGTCCCATGGTGGAAACATTCCCTCTACCCCCAGGAATCAATACTTCTCAACCAGCAGGGCCCAAAGTTTTAGGGATTTGTAGCAAAATTTAGTGAATGGATTATCACATGGAATAGTAAGAGAGATCACTCTCAACTTCACCTCTTGGTTCTGAGATTTATGCATTTTGGCTGTGGGGAAATGGTACCAATATTGTTCATTGGTTTCAAATATATATCCCATCCTTGAGGACAATTTCCCAACCACATAGGTATAGTTTACCACTGTAACAGGCACTATAGCTATATCTTCAATAGACTATTTTAACATTCTGTGAGTAGTGGAGCACATGGTAAGAATGGTGAATTTCATGGCCACACTTCTTTTCCTGAGAAAATTCAATATTTGATGAGAAGCAATGCTATGCAAAATAATATGATAGTGAATAATGTATTCTATAAATCTATGAATGATGGTCCTGGCAATAATATCATGGGCAAGGATGCCAAGCCATATTTAGAATACATGTATATTCTAATAAGTACAAATTTCTGCTCCTTCCACATTGGAAGAGGTTGAATATAATCAATCAATCTGCCACCAAACAGCTAGCTAGTCAGTCTCCCTGCTTCTCCTTGCCCTATCCCTTTCACCTCAACACCCAGGTAATGATGTCATAGCAGGGCTCAGCATTGTTTATGATGTTGGCAGGCAGTCATTCAGTAGTGATGGTAGCAAGACTAGCTTTAGTAAGGCAAAGTCAATGTTGTGGAGCTGATGCCTAAATCTCATTCCTTTGCACATTGAGCAATCTTCCACGAGGTAGCTTGGGACAGAAGCCAAGTGACATCCACAGAATGGCTATTTGGAGTACCAGCTTTGCCTGAGAGAGTGAGAAAATTGATTGGATTTGCATGAGCAGATGGAAAGGAAGAGGTGTTAGTTTAAGCAAAAGAATAAGGCAAGGATAATCATAGAGTTTGGCAAAGCATGGGGAGGCTAGCCAGGATAGAACCAAGTTTGTACTATAGAAAGGGACAAAGGTTAGAAAGGAAGGGTGTGGTGAAGTTCTATTAACAACAAGGGCAACACATAGTAGTATTCACTTATATTTATCGGGTCCTTACTGTGTACTATGCTGAGCACTTCATATGTATTATATCATTTGATCTTTAAAAAATTCTGTGATGTAGATACTATTATTATGCCCAGTTTATAGAATAGTTTCATGAGATTAAGTAAGAAATTATAGGGCTTCCATTGGCATTGACACAGAAGCTCACAGAACTTGTTTACCACCAGGCTATACTGCCTTGTTATTCAAGCTGTGTGGTATGGATTCTAATGTTAGACAAAAGGGAATGATTGAGGGGATTTGAGCAAAAGGAAATCTTTAAGAAAATTAATCTTTCAATGAGATATGGAACAGATAGCAATTGACTTTGAACAACCTGGGGGTTAGGGGGCACCAACCCCCCCATGTAGTCAAAAATCCATATGTAACTTTTGACTCTCCCAAAACTTAATTACAAATAACCTACTGTTGAACTGAAGCCTTATCAATAACATAAACAGTATATTAACACATATTTTGTATGTTATATGCATTATATGATGTATTCTTACAATAAAGTAAGATACAGAAAAGAAAATGTTATTTAAAAAATCACAAAAAAGAAAATATATTTACTATTCATTAAGTGGAAGTGGATTATCATAAAGGTCTTCATTCTCATTATCTTCATATTGTGTAGGCTGAAGAGGAGGAGAAGGGGGGATTGGTCTTGCTCCCTCAGTGTGGCAAAGGTGGAAGGAAATCCTCATATAAGTGGACCCATGCAGTGCAACTCGTATTGTTTAAGGGTCAACTGTCATTTCTTTCTCTATAATGGAATAACTAAGAAGTAAGGTAGAGAGGATCCAGGCTTTGGAGACAGTCTTAGATTTGCATCTCGGTTCTGTCTCATATTAACACATGAGCTGTAAAATGTTTAACTTTATGTGCCCCAATTTCCTTATTGGTAGAATGGAGATATAGCAGTTCTTACCTAAGAGGACTATTTTGAAGAAAAAATGATTTGCATTTCTCTGATGATTAGAGATATTGAGTATTTTTTCATATGTTTGTTAGCCATTATTCTGTCTTCTTTTGAAAAGTTTCTGTTCATGTCCTTAGCCCACTTTTTGATAGGGTTGTTTGATTTTTTCTTGCTGATTTTCCTGAGTTCTAAATAGATTGTAGTTATCAACCCTTCATTAGATGAGACAAGGTGTATTATACTTGGTACCTGATACAGAGTTGATATTCCATAAATGTCGATTTTCTTTTCCTCTCTCCCATTTCTCCCCAGTAGTGAATATTGGAATAGGTTTCTGGAAGTTTTTAAAAATATGTATCTCTTGTTTTATAATTTGTTAAATGAATCTCTTTCAGAAGGTGAGATGGCAGCTTGGATACAAGTTAATTTAACAAGCACCTATTTATTACCTGTTATGTGCCTTTTTCAATACGGAGCTCCAGAGGAACCAAAGCAAATAGGCTATAGTCTTTGACACTGCATCCAGAAGAAGACCAATAAATAGGTAAGTCTAAGCCAGTGAGATAAGCCCTACAGTAGACTAAAAACATGTATCAGGAGGCAGGAGAAAACAGACGGGAGAGTGTAGGAGTCTATGATCAGTCTTAATAATGGAGTTCACTGATTAAAGTACAGAAAAATAACAGTATCCTTCAAAATCACTCCAATAGAGTCCTACATATCCTATATGCTTTTTCAAAAATTTCAAAGTATTAAGGGGGTTCAAATGTTTTTGTTACATGGATACCTTGTATAATGCTTAAGTTGGGACTTTTAGTATACCTATCACCAGAATAGTCTATACACTTTTTAAAATTAACAAATGATCTCTCCTTCTCCTCTCCTCAAAATCAAGAGGATGAGTGGAGAAAATGAAGGCCATTGGCTAATAGGTTGTAATCTCAAGTTTCTCTGCTGGTAGCTAAGAAAGTAGTTGATAAAGGGCAAAAAACTCAACGAGGGGCCTATTTATTATTCCCAACAGTTGTGGTGGTTGGGAGTTGGGTGACAGTGGGGAAGGATAAAAGAAATGACTTAACACTCCTTGGATGTTAATGTAAAAGAATAATTCATTCAAAAGAGAGAACTTAAAAATCACAGAGAAAATAGAAAAATGCTTCCCTTTCTCCTTTTAAAAGCATGAATGGAGAAAAACAAGTCAAGAACAGAGATGGAATTAGTAACTTCCCCATGAGAGATTTAACTTACCAGATTGTCTCAAAAATCTGTCAAAAAATGTGATATAGCACTGATTTTGAAGTTTTCCCCATCTTAATTTTTCTCCCCAATCTTTCAGTAAAATGTATCCTACCCTTCCTGCCTTGTGTGAAGAGACAGTAACAAACAGAAGCACAGGATATCAAAGGGAATGGTGGCTGTTTCCAGTGCAAACTCATCACTGGCTTTCATAAAGGAAAAGTAGCATATTGAGGGGATGAGATACAGGGGGTCCAGATGTTGAACCAGCAGCCATGGAGCTGCCAGGGAGGAGTGGTAAAGGTTCCTAGCAGCACTGTGGTGTAGACAACTGGAGCAGAAATGATGTAAAATTTCCTCTTACTCTAGAAGAAGTTGAACTTTAAAAGTAGAAGAGGCAAACCTTGGGCCCATACTATCCTTCATCTTTGATATTATTTTTGAAAGAAGGCTCATCCATCTTTTTGTTTTTCTCTCTAAAGAGAATTTCTGTGTACTGTCACTGTTTCATTAACTGCCCTCAGAAGAATGTCATCTCCACTTCTGTGACAATCTGTGTCCATGCCTAGCTCTTACATAAGTACTCTACGTACTTAGTATTTCATGTATTTCCACGACATGGCATACTGTATTCCATATTGTGCAAACCAGAAATGGAGATGTTTTAAATAAGCCTTACCTGCTCACAGTTGACAGCCTTGTGCCCCATAGGAAACTTGGGCTAAGAACTTCAATGATGTGGGGTTGCTGTTACTCCATTTTCCAAAGCTTCAGGGGCTCACAGGCATGAATTACCAGAGATGACAGCTGCATGTCCAGAATGAAGCATTTTCAAACAGGTGCAAATTTTTATGCAGGCTCCCGACCTACTAATAACCCACCTTGTCAAAAATTTCAATGTTTTCTAAGGTTAAAGTGAAACCTCGCATGGGTTTCATTAGTGGGGAGCAATCACATCTTGTGAAGTAGATAACATACTTTGGTATTTCTCCTCACTTCTATATGCAAGTAAAAGGAAAATTCACATGACCCATTTTCACTTCTGTGATGTGTAACTCCTCTTCATTATTTTAGAGATGCTGAGTTTAAGTCCTGGAAATACTTTCCAAATATTAGTCCAAATATTATTAGGGGGAAATATATATATATATATATATATATATATATATATATATATATATATATATATATATCACTTGTTCTTTCCCTTCCTCATCCACTCACAGTCTCTATCCCCACACACAACAACTTATGCTCCAACCACTGGATTATTTGTTCTTCCTTAAACCCATCTGTCATATTTCCAAGCCTTGTGTTAGCAATTCTTAACCTTTTTTCTAATGTGACACATATAAAGAATGACATTCCTTATGTGCAACAACATAACTCACATAGCCATGCCCAGATTTTGACAAAAACCCAACATTCTGCAGAGAAATAAAACAGTGCAATAAGTCAAGGCAACCTAGATATCAACTAGAGGAAACAGGCTGCTAGTGAGGCACGATTCCCTCTGAGCAAACTCTTGAGAGCTAAGTTCTCTCCCACTCAAAGCAAGGGAGTGAGAATGAATATTTATAGGGATAACCTTGAATTTTCTCTAATTTTAAAAATGTGAATCATTTTCAAACTTTGGGGCTTTATTATTATTGCTATGGACCACACAGATGCTGCCTTAGTCCTTCCTACTCTTGCATGCTGAAATTATTACCCCCATCCATATCACGATTTGATGAAAAACCTTCTCATCATCTAAGGTTCAATTTAAATGCTACCTCCTCCAGTGAAACAGATGCTGTCTGTGCCTTAGCCAAATTCTGTCTCCCCGCACCCCTCGAGTTTATAGCTCTTTGTCTGGGGCTTTTCACTGGCAGCACAGGTACAGACTTAGCCCACATGTGGAATAGGTCAGAAATATTGCAACAATAACACCCCTGGGCATAGCCCTCAATCAGTGATGTACAGAATTTGGTAAATAAATACCTCATATTTCTCCCCTTCTAAAAGGAGAACAACACTGAGGTATATTCTTAACTCCCAGAGGTCACCAATGAGATCGAGACCCCATTGTCCATAACAGTAACCTGCTTATTAGTGTACTCTCTTTGGCTTCCTGGGATCACCTTCCAAATAAACCTTGTGTCCAAATACCCTTGGTGTCTGCTTCTGGGGAAATTCAACCTAAGATTTCCTGGAAGTCTTTTCACCATGACTCCACAGATAATAATTCCTTCCCCTCCTGGGTTCTCATAAGATTTTATTACATCAGGGAGCATGTTATACAGGATATAAAAAAGAAACAGAGAATCATAGATATATCTGTCCCTCCCACTAGGCACCTGAAAATAAGAAGAATGATTTCTCTATATCTATAGCTTCAAATTACTGATCATTGCACTTTGCACATTCTTAGTACTTAATAAATATTTGTTAATTTGAATTAATATCAATATACCTATAGCATCAAAGATAGCAATTGTCAATGTTTCTTCTGTCTAGGATATTATTTTAAAACAAATATTAGAAGACAATAGAGATTTGGCATCAAAAATGATAGCTTAAGTATTTGATCCAAGTGTTTCTCATATTCCCTTTAAAAATATATAATAATTTAACAAAAGTGAGATATTCTGACAGCACAATAAACTAATGATGAGAATAAAATAGCACAATAAACCAAGAAGCAAAGTCCAGTGTAATGTGGAAGCAGGGAGAAATTTTCATTAACCATATCATATAAGTGTGGATTGAGAAACAAAATCACTACCCAGGGTATGTTAAAACCCTATACAGAATAGTATGGCTTGGAAGTAGGTAGGAGGAGGTTAGGGCTACCATCACTCTCTGCCTCTAACTCCAGGCAAAAAGGTACAGTAGACAAAAGCCATGGCTTCTCCTTCACTACATGTGGACTGTCTTTGAGAATGATCATAATCTTCTCAACTCCTTCTCCAGCCTCCTTTTATAGAGTCCCATGTGCAATATGATGAGAAGTTAAAAGCAGTAAGAAGAGCAAATGATAGATCATTGCGTCCAGAAATGTCTCTGGGGCAAAGCAAGCTAGGTATAGACAGAGGTCAGGGGTAATTTGACATGCACCAACCTATCTAAGGAAGAACCTCTATAGAATAGAGCATTGCATGGAGGTCAAGAACATGAACTTCAGAATCATATGGACCTTCTTGCAAGATTTTGAGTTACTTAATCTAGCCACACCTTAGTTTTCTTATAAGTAACATAGAGCAAGAATAGTAGCTCTCTCAAAGAGTTTTTAAGACAATTAAATGAGATAATTAATGTAAACATCTTAGAGAAGTGCCTGGTAGAATAGTCAAGATTATTTCTTGCCCCAACCCTCCTCCTCTTTCTTCAATACTATCATCACTCATGGATTCTGCTGAGTTAAAAAATGAAATAGTTGAAGAGGAAAAGTTTCCACTCAAGTTTAGCAGAACTATAAAAAATTGATGCTTACAACAATAATGAATTTCAGGCTGGGGAGTGTGAAAATCAAACTAGCACTTGGCTTTATAGCTGACAAGGGGATTCTCTCAGCTTCCAAGTGAATAGGAAAAGTGAATGAGGGTGGTCAAGCCTCTACATGTTACAAACATGGGGCCGATACAGGTTTCTCCTCATTTGGTATGATTAAAAACAAAACAATAGGCAATGCAGGGCCTAGGAAACATTCTCTTCTACTTACAAGAGAAGGTAATTCTGTGATAATTCTGAAGAAGGAAAAAAAACAACAGTTGGTGAAATCACTGCAGAAATTGAAAGAAAAATTTAAGGAAATTTCTGCTCTGATTTCAGTAAAATTCATAAATTTTTAAATGTTTATCTTTGTTTTTCTGTGCTGCTATACCAAAATACCTGAGACTAGAAAATTTATAAACAACAAATTTTATTTTTCATGGTTCTGGAGGCTGGGAAGTCCAAGGTTAAGGCACAGGCATTCTGTGTGGTGAGTACCTTCTTGCTGTGGCCAAAGGCAAAAGGGCAAAAAGAAGGAAACTCTCTCTGAAGCTTCTTTCATGAGGGTGGAGCCCTCATGACTTAATCACTTCCTAAAAGGCCCCACCTCTTATACCTCCACATGGAGATTAAGTTTCAACATGAATTTTGGAGGTAACATATTCAAATAATAACAATATTAATCAAGAACAGATCTATGATAAGGAAAAAAGATGGGTTCATATAAAAAGAAAACATGCTATATATGAAATAAATGTTAAGATAGCAGTAATAGCAGTAATAGAACAAAAATAGCAGTAATAGAATTAAAATCTACATTGTAGAAAATCACTA